CTGGTGCCAGAAGAATTCATCATGAGTGATGTTGTGGTGGTCTGAATATTAAAAGAAAATCAGTGGTTTGCCATTTACCGTGCTAGGAGGCGTCGCTCTCGCGCCTTCGCAGGATGACCCATCAATAACGCTGCGCTGCGGTGGGATTCCTGCGGAATTACGCAGTGTCGAGGATCAGCCTTCGCACAAAATGGTTCATCGTGATTAATGGTATTATTACCTAAACAGAGAAACTAATTAATTCAGCCTTATTCCTTTAAGCCACTCCAGCTGAGCTGCCTTCTGCTGAAAGAACTGGTACAGAAGGACTTCCTGGGTTTTATGCATTTCTACCACTGTTCAGCTTTCATTTTGTGCCGGTTTTGCCATTTTTATTCTGCTTTTGGCTGTATCCCTAGAGACTTCCCTCAGTCACCGACAAAGGGTGGAATTTAGCAAACAAATGACAGTAGGTGGGAGGAAGAGGATGGGATTTGGAAGGCTCATGGCTTGCCTCAGGCAACCTGTTTTTAAAAAGATGCTCAGGAAAGCACATGGAGAGAGGCCAGTGCTTGCACTTGCATTACCTTCTGTCTGAAATGCGCTGCCATGTGCCACTGCAGCTCTGGAAGGAGATGTGGTGTGAACCTGCTTCAGTTAATGGGAACCAGTCTTGAACCAGTCAGGAAAACAGACAACTAGGATATCATGGAGTGAGGGAAAAAGCCAATGTGGAAAGCTGTAATGAATCCTCAGATTACTTGTCAAAAATATTAACTCTTCCTTGACAAAAGTACCAGGTGCTTCTCTGAAAAGCTTTATTGCCTAAAATAAGCATTTGGGAATTGTCCATTTCAGTCTATAGAGATGCCATAAATATTTAGAGTTAGCTATTGGTGACCTGGAGTGAGACAGGAGGTTGGTGCAGGGAAGCCCAGGGACTCTGCAGCAGCACTCAGCACTCTGAGCTTTCACCATCAGGTCTGCAACACCAACATCACCCGGGTCCAGAGCAGGGAAAGCACAAGAAGCCAACTAGTCAGGAATGCAATATCCTGAGAGCTTAGGGAAGAGCAAGACACCCCAGCTGTGCCTTGGGCAGGCCAGCAAGTGCTAGCATGAGAGCAGAGGTAGATCAGCGGTGTGAGCTCAGGCTGGAGCCAAGGAGCTCTCAACGATGGGGAAAACAGGGTTTGTGTTTTCTTTGGCTTGTGCCAAGCAAAAAAAAAAAAAAAAAAGGAAACATTTCCTGTACCTCCTGGAAATTCCTTTTTTGACAAAGTCTTAGGAAAACAGTTGTGTTGCAGCCTTGGGGGGTTTTGGTAGTGGTCTTGAGAGACCAAAATGGCATTGCCTGTCACCAAAACCTGGACATCCCCACGCTAACACCCCTTACAGAGCTCTCCCCTTTGCTGCTTGGTGCCCCTTTGCAGTTGCTTTGGGGAGAGTTGGACAAAAGAAATAAAGATACATGGCACTTTGGCAAACAAATTTACCATGTTTGCTCAAATCCTGGGGAGTTGGTAGCCCAGGGCTTAGCTCAGAAACACAGTGCCTTGGGAAGAGCACCGAGGGTTGTGGGCTCAGCCTTCATCAGGGCGTTGCTGTGGGCACAGCAGCAGTGACCAGGGGATCTGCTCCGTGCCCACCTGTGTCCAGCACGATGGCATCCCCCTGCTGAGCCACCACTTTCATAGCACCGAGATCAATCATTTGTCAGGAAATCCCCTTTCCCAGTAGCACACTGTATGCTGTGGAACCGAGCAAGAAGCAGGGAGTGGGGGAAGGCTGCAGCGGGCCTAAATTCCAGGCTCCCATTTCTGGGCATAATGGGGAAAAAGAAAAATCAAATGATGTTTTGAAGTTTAACCTGGAAAATATTTTTCCAAGGCCTTTGAGGGATGTGTATGTGAAGTAAGAAGGTCGTCTCCCCCCATCCCAGCCCCTGCTGCTGCGGCACAGCTGGAGGCTCCCGGCGCAGCGGCTGGGACCTCCTCGCAGGTGTCGGCCTGGCAATTTCTTTGTCTTCTCACAAAAAACCTTCTGCTCCATTAAGCTTCCCTAATTGCTGCATTTATCATCAGCCATTTTCTGCTTGTTCTCTTCCTCATTCAGCGAGGATGTGTCAAAATAGAGAGACACCCACCGTCCCTGCCGCGCTGGAGCTGCTCAATTGGCCGTTGAGCAGGAGGTCCCTCATTACCGGCTCGACGCGGCGCGTGTGTCCCGCAGCTCGCGGGCTGTGCTGGCCAGTGTCAGGCCCCTTGCACTGAGCCTCCATAAACAGCTCAAAGGAGAAAAACACAGGGCTTGTTTTTCGACTCGAAACCCAGCCAGCTTCATCCTCCTCCTCCAGCTCCTGATAGGAATTCATGCAGTGAACTGCAGCTGCCCACAGCAGGGTGAAGCCCTTCATCTCCCCACAAAGTAGTTTGAAGAGCAGAGGATGTATTTGACACCCAAAGGAGATGGGGGCCCAGCTCACACCCACATCAGTCAGCAGTGGGAGGAAACCTGGAAGAAAACACTGTGGGCTCAGCAGGGTCGCACAGGTTTC